GCACAAGTTAGAAAAAGTCGTGGGTTGAGATAAAAACAGTTTAATAATTGAAATAATAATACTACTACTACACAAAGCAAGTGATGCACAGTGCAGTTGCTCACCACCCGCCGACCGATGCCCAGCCAGTCCCCGAGCAGTGGCCCCCCCGGCCAGCTTTCCCCAGTTTATGTACTGAGCATGACGTCACATGGTATGGAATGTCCCTTTGGCCAGTTTGTCTGTGCCCCCTCCCAGCTTCTTGTACACCTCCAGCCTTCTCAGTCGGTAGAGCATGGGAAGCTGAAAAGTCCTTGGCTAGTGTAAGCATTACCTAGCAACAACTAAAACATCGGTGCGTTATCAACTTTGTTCTCATCCTAAATCCAAAACACAGCACTGTACCAGCTACTAGGAAGGAAATTAACTCTATCCCTGCCGAAACCAGGACAGGCTGGAATCCTGTTTTCTTAATTGCAATGAAATAAAATTTGCAATGAACAGTTTTAGAGTGTTGCTGTTTAACAGTTCTTAAGGTGTTTCACTTGCTTTTCATGTTGATGCTTTGAGATTTTATACAGACACACACATACGCGCGCGCACGCACACACACATATATACTTCCTAGAGCAGGAGTTAATTCTTGATTCTCCCTTATGAGTTTACTTTTTCAGGTTGTATGGGTTAATTTTTTAGGGAATTGCTTGTTGTTGTTCTCCTCTGTTGTCCAGACTGCCTCTTACAATCTCTTTCCCTCTTTGTGCCTCTCTTCACATTGATTCTTACGCCCCTTGTAGCCTATTCCCCTTTTCCTGAAATGTTTCATTTTAAATTCTGCCAAAGGATGATCAAGTAGGGCTCAGTTACAAGTAACTATTGTTTTCCTCTTGTAATTTCACTCAGATTTTTGGAAGCCATTTGTTGGGGAGATGCTATTTAAAAAAAAAAAAATTACTGTCAAATTTCAATCATTTTTTTTTCTCCTAAAACTATAGATCATGTAACCATCTCACTAATTAAAGCTTTTCTGTCCTTCTGTTTATTAGGGTACTGTCCTTGACTACACTATAGGTTGAATTACTCATGACTATTTTATACTCTTACTTTCATGTGGATTAGAGCTTGGTAATGTTTAAAAATAAGTATTGTCTAAAAAAACCTGACAGATCTTTGGCAAAATGAGGTTGGTTGTCATACATATGAAGTCACTTGGAGTGACGACAAGTCTTCCATTCCTTTTAAGGGGAGCGTGCGTCATACACAACAGTCCAGTAATTCTTATTTCTATTGCAAAGATGGTACCCTTTACAATATATGAATTAGCCCGCTATTGCAACTTTGTCGTACAGAGTGGAGTTGAAAGCGGTTGACAATTCTGCGCTCCAGAGGGACAGAAACAAAAGGGTCATGAATTCTCTTTAGGCATGGACACAAAGCCGGATCTGAATTTGTAAGGAAGTATCCTTACGTGAATATAATATCCCTTTTGTAGAGTATCATCGGGATAAACTGAAATGTTGCAGAAGGGGGAGGAGGAGTTTTCAGCATACAGAAAACTAAGGTAAAGCCTTTGGTACACTAATATATGCCAATTGCTGGTATTGCAGACTTCAGAGAGAGAAGTATGAACAGAAGAATGAGGAAAAGAGGATAAAATTCTGATCAACAGCCATGCATAAAAATTCACCTTAAGGTATTATTATTTTCTTCTCATTCATAGCATGGCCGAACTCCCCTGCATCTTGCTGCCCACAGGGGTCATCTCCATGTTGTCCAGGTTTTGTTGAAGGCAGGCTGTGACCTGGATATTCAGGATGACGTAAGTAGATACAACCTTCTTGCTTGGGGTGGAGGGGAAAAGGTAATTTGCAACTAAGAGTAGACCTTCACTTCTTTGAAGTAGGATTAATTGAAAACAAAATCTGTCTCTGTATTTTCTAATTTGGAGATGCAAAACTGCATGGGAGACAAAGTAAAATGTGGTGTTTTTCAATGAATAGCTTGGTCCTCATGCTCAAGAGCTCTTTATAAGAGCTCTGGTTGCGCCAGGCTGGTGTGAGTAGCAGTGAGAGTCATCGTCTGCCTTTTGGTGCAGAAATGAAATAAGAGCTTGTTGTACCACATGGGAACCCATGTGCCATTCCCATTGTACCACATGGGAACCCAAGCCATGCTTGGTGTGGGGGTGGTCGCATCTGTGAGGCTTTCGTGTGGTGAAGCATCAGCACAACGAAACCAGCTTTGAATTTAGCCAACGGTAGTTTGTTTTCATTCGGTAAAATATGTAAGTTACTGGACTTTCTCGGTTTTCCATAAGAATAGTTCTAATCTTGGGACCAGGCTTTAAGGCACAGTGGAGTGATCGGTAACATGGTTTTAGTTGCCTCGCTCTGATGAACAAAGGTGTAGGCTGAAATGTGCAACAGCAGTTGAATAACCATGACTGCTTCAGATTCGTTGCTAACTTCTGATAGCATGCTGGAACAAGTTTGAGGAAGGGTTGTTTTTGTTCCCCCTGTAATAAATAAGGTGTAGATTCTTCAAAGGACCTAGAGGTCCAAAGGTGGTTAGCAGAGGCACCTGTATGACTATTAAAAGGACACTGGAAATGTCTAGGTGCCTTTTGAAAATCCCCTTAGGCATTTGTTTGCATCTAGAGAGTCTTAAATATCTATAGAAATTGGAAAACTGGTTTCCTTCTCTGCATGAGTAGCTGCTTCCCTGTGAGACGTGAACAGTCTGTCTGACGAGCTTTGGACTGGGGTACCGGTGCAGCCAGCTTTCTACTGGGAAACTTGTTTTTCTAGGAAGAAACTTTGCTTCCTGTGCTCTTCATTCTTTCCCTATGCCCATCTGTGAAATGGAGCAGATTTGCAAGTGTAATGGGAGTATCAGTTTATTCAGATGTATCCTGAGTATGTTTTTTGACTTCTCCCAGCAAAAATGATTCATCAGGTATTTAAGACAAAATTGCAGGTACTTTACAAGTACAGTCAGTTTTCCTGAGAAAAGCAAGTTGCTGCTCTAAGAATGCAAGAACTTCCACTGCTTTGATCAAATTTGGTTTCTGTGAAAACTGTTTTTTGAGTAAGTCTGGTTTTTTTTTAATCCTCTAGGAATAAAATCTAGGCTGTTTATATGTAAACATGATAGCCATAATGGAAAAACAGTAAATCAGTGTTTAGCATCATTGCAGTTTAGTGAAGAATCTTGCACTGTAGAAATATTCAGCTCATAGAAGACCTATTTCGCGTGCCTTGCAAGCTTCTCAGGGGCTTTGTTCACGACAACTGGATACTGCTTCTAAATGCGATGACTAATCTGAACAGAATAGATGCATGCTTGATTCACAGATACTGTTTCTTTAAAACGTATTTTGATTTTAGCTCTGTATTTAGTACTAGTAATTTGGTTGGGGTTGAGGAGAGCCTCAGGAGTTGCGGAGTCTCAGAGGGTGCGTTTGGATTTATCTCAGAGGAGGAGGAAGGCTAAAACTCCAAGTAAAGATTTTTGCTTGTGAAAGGTATTAACTAAAATATTTCTGCTTTCCTTTTACATAGGTCTTCAAAGAAGGTTCTCTATTTATGGTTTCTCCTTGTATAATTCATTTTTACACTTTATTTATGCCCCACAGAATACGTTCTTATTCTCTTTTAGATGCAATCTATTGATTATGCCTTCGGTCACTTTTACTGTGTGCTCATTTGGCAGTGAAGGCATCTTACTTAAAAGTGTTGGTTAACATCTGTACGTTTCATTGCTGTTTTTCAGGAATACAGATTTAGGTTCAGAGATTAAATCGCTCATGAGAGTGGGGAGTATCATATTTAATTGAAAAGTAAATTACTTAGTTGATTTTTGTCTGTGGCATTGTTGCAATAACACAAAAAAATCTCCACGTTCTAAAAAGATGACCTATATTTTATTTTTGTAAATAACAAGAGAAACCTAAACACATTTTATTTTGGAGTTGACTCTCTTTAGCTAATGAATGAATGCAAGACTAACTTTTCATCTGCCACATGATAAGCAGAAACTTAAAAGTTGCTAAATGTTGTGGAGAGATTAAAACACTCACTTCATGTTCTACAGATACATTCTTTAAAACACGGTAAGAGCCGTAAGAATTAGTTGAAGAATGACCTCCAGTGGCCTGGAGTGGGATTATTATGAATTTCAACCGGTGGAGTCCAGCTCTGTAGAGTACGCCACCCCGGGAGCTAACTCTTTCCTTCTCCCTGCCAATACTGAAAACTCTTACTGGGATCCCAATGCCATCTCTGAATGGTCAATGAGTATCCATACAGCACACACCTCAGAAATAGTCAAGGAGAAAGTTGTCCCGGTGAAGGAAATCAAGGACGAAAAAGATAAGAGAAACCAGAAGAGAAAGGCTAGGAAGGAACCTAGAAGATCAGAAAGAGAGAAGGAGGTTAGAAATCTTGTGCATCAACCCTGCTTGAGCTTGACGTCTCCCATGGCTGCATGCTGCGAAACCTTGGCCTGGCGGTCTGGCATGACCGAGCTCTTCTGCGGTGCATGACTGCATGGCGGGCTTTGCGCTGGGTACTCTGCATCAAGTTTCCTGCCCTGTGTGCGCTCTCTGAAAATCTAACTGGGAAAACAAGTTAATTTAAAAAAAAGGCCCGAGGCCCCAAAACTTCCCTTCTGGAAGCTCCAGTTTAAGAAGCAGAAAATTAATTTCAAATGGAACAATAACCCAGGGTTCATAACAATTTCTAGCTGAATGTAAATATGCAAAGTGGCTTATTCCTGTACTCCCATTTCAGTCTCATTTAAGCTGTAATTTGTTTCATTCGTGATTATTTTTTCATGTCTTGATCACTTCTGCTGGTCGTGCATCATCATTTATCGTTCAGAGTGAAGTTCTTACTGTGTTTCATGATGACTGCCTTTCTTTAGCAAAGGAGGAGGAGAGCAGCACAGTGACACTGAGAAACACTAGGGCACATTCAGTTGTCTTGGTGTACAGCTGCTTCAGGATTTCCACATATGCTTGTATGCTCCTGCGAGTATTTAACACTTGGTTATATTTTAACTTTAAAATATTTTGAACTTGTATGAATTTAGTGGTTTGATTTCATAGTATAAGACTTTGCAAGTGCCGTCCAGCACTTTGTATCGGGGTTTGAAGGCATGAGTTTTTGCTGGTTATTCTGGTGCAATTCTCCTGTAGCAAGACAGTTTGTTTGGTGATTTCTGCAAACATGGAAAGACAGTGAGGAGGCAAAGTGTGACACTGGAGGGGGGGCTTTAAAGGAGATCGTACAACTGATGGGCGCTCTGGAGAATAGGAGTGTGCAGGAAAACAAAATATGTTGGTCATAGTATTTTTTAAATCGGAGAAAGGAAAAAATAACATGTATTACAAACCAGGGTAAAACAAATTTCATTAAATTTGGGCAGTAGAGTCTATAATAGAGACTCCAATAACCCAGGAGAGCTGGCAGAAGTACTAATATCTACCTGAAACCCTTTTGTAAGTTGCTTGTGTTGTTTCCTTTCCCTTGGGGTGAACTTCAGATGTAAAATAGATGCATATCCAGCTCCTAGGTCCCTGGTCCCAGTGGTTGCATCCACTGCTTTAAGTTAGTCAGCAAATGAAGAAACTCGAGGAGGTAATAGCAAACACCAGGACGCTGAGCAAGCACCACCGGCCTAGCCAACACAGAAATGCTAAAGGAAAGGGGTAATGCCAAAATCCATGGAGAAGGTCAAGATTTAAGTATCTGCCTTTCTTCAGAACTCCCAGCCTGTAGCCCTGTCCTGAAAGCAGGTGTTTAAGCTCTCTGTAAAGAGCACGGTTTCACCCTTTGGAAACGTACCGGTTGGTGCTGGGCCTTGCTGTGCAATAGCCCCATTACAGGTAGAGCGTGCAGTCCCTCATCCTCTGCACCAGGGGATGCAGACTCCCATCCTGGCCTCCCACCAGCATCTCCCTCTCTCTAGCCCAGTGAATATGGATGTTTTTCTTAAAGATGGAGTGCTTTCAACACAGCAGCGCTCTCATGGCAAGACAAGCTGGGTGACTACCGTAATCTCTGGGATGCTGCAGAAGAGCCAGCAGCCACCTCCTTCGCTGGCCTCGTTTCAAAGGGTGGTGGGCCTATCTGCAACTTGCGTGGAGCTTCTCCCAGCAAGTGTGCAACAAGGGCGCTCACAGAGCAAGAGAGAGGAGGGGAGACAGCTGCGTTAGGGGCTGCAGCAGTGCTGGGTATGTGCTACGCAACGACCTCCTTGGTGCCACCATGACTGCGGTGCCCTGTGGCGGCGTGCAAGCCGAGATGTCTGAGGCGCTGGAGTGGAAATGGCTGAGTTTGCGTTGCTTTCAGGGCTAGGCAGCAGCTGAGGAAGGGGATTTAAGACGCGCCATTGTAGACTTAAGTGCCTTACTTCTACCAAGCCTCACTTAAGCACCTAAATGTCTTCTTGATTTCGGGCCCACGTCTGCATTTAGGCAGACTCTGTTGTTTCTGTCAAGGTCACATTTGCGTGACACAGCACTGGAGTTCTCTCTCTTCATTGCTACTGATCTGCGGTCTGTTCCTAAGGCATAAATCACTTACAAATAGGATTGTCAGTTGTGCCCAACATAATAGTCTGGGCAGTTAATATGCATTTACTGGTGCAATTTCTCTCTGAGCCCCCTAATACCTTGCTAAAGGCAGAACTCCGGTGAGTGCTTTCAGAGGCAGTTATTTTAGCAATTAATAAAAAGATACACGAGTCAGTGATTACACTGTCTGAAAATTCACGCTGTGAAAAAAATATAACTCATCTGTTTAATCTGACTCCATAAGAGGCAAGATAGGGGTTTGCTCCTCTGCTAATGGGGAGGCAAGACAGGTTAGAAATGCAGTGGTGCAGGCAGTATTATTTATAGTTGGGCTGTGCCATCTGTGGCTGGGTCGCTCAATGACTCACACGCAGAGGCCATTGCAATCTGGTGGTTCAGCTTCCACAGCACCTTAAGCAGTTTAAGGTTGACGTGTGTGCTGAGGCCCAAGGGCACGGTTGACCAGGTCCTGCCCTGCTGGCTGAAGGGCCTGGGGGTGGTAGGGACCTTCACCAGGACATTGATACCTGCCATCTCTTCACTGGGAGGTGCCTCAGTCCAGGCGAGGCAGGGTTTGAGATATCCTTTGACACTCCCTGTTATGGGGATGAGGTATTTATTTACCTGGTCAGGGTGCTGGTTGGACCTTACTATTAGATGCTTGGCTCTCCCCATGCTACCAGTTGGCAGGGATAGGTTGACGGATTACTTTCCACTTCACGGTAGTCAGATAAAATGACCTTTGCACTGTCCACATTACCCATTGCTGCAGTAGCAGTAGCTGTGCCAGTCATCAGTACCGTGCCCTATTGAAAGAGGGTGTTAAGTTCTTCACCGGCTTGTTAGCAAGCAGATTTCTGTGCAGTAATAGTTACTGGAAACTATCCAACACTTGCACTTCTGAGATGGTATATTTTGGACATTTTCCATAACATTTTTGTTATCTTTAAATTTGGAATAAATACGCAAGTTCAGAGAACTTGCAGTGCTGTCAGTTTTCCAATACTTCATGTTTTTCTGAAAGTCCCGGTTCCTGGAACCATTATTGTCTTTGTTCAAAATCTCTTAAAATACATTTCCGGCCTTAATAGGGACAAGAACAAAAGTAAAGATATGTGACCTCTAGAGACAAAACATAGATGGCCAATTAAAAAAAAAAAAAAGCCCCCAACACAATTTTTAAAAATCAACTTCATGATTACAAGGCAATTTAATGATTTACTGGTGGTGGCAGTTGGCATTACGAGGGTTACTGGCAGGTTGTGGTTGGCAATGCTCATTTTTCACTTACGGATTAATAACTATTTTGGTGTCATTAGCACAAAAGAACCCCACCAAGAGCAATTCTTGTCAGCTGCTAATTGCCTTTGAGAACAAATTATTCAAATTATCCAGTTATCTAAAGACTTGTAGACTGTAGGACAGAAAATACAGGAATTCCTCTAGTTTTAGTATTTAATAGAATGTGGTATTATCTGATAAAGATTTGTAGCAGAGAAATTTTCTATCTATTTAGGACTAGCTTCCTGCAAGCTTTTTTTCCTCAGGATACACTATGTATCTCTGCCCTGCATGTGTTTCTGGTGACCATTATCTAGATAAGCAGAAGTGGATTGCATTCCCATTCTGTTTATTCATCCCCCAAAAAGGTTGTGTGCAGCTTTGAAGCTGGTCTTCGTGCCTGGACTCAGGCTGTGCTTCAGCATTGCAGGTTCAAAGCAACTTCAAAGGAAAGCCAAGACCAGTTTTTGTGGCAGCAGTGGAGCTACTGCAGCTCATTTTCCCATCGGTTGGTGTCTTACATCCCTACACACTGCTGCATAAATCCTCCTATTCCCCCTCTTCTATCATGGTCTCACCAACATGCACATAAAAATATATAAGTAATCCCCGATGGGCAGGGCCAGTAGTTTGCGTCTCCCTAGTCTTCAGTTTCTGGAAGGCTTGTAGAAAATTAATTTTCAGCTTTCTAGCTCAGCAAATGAGTTCAACAGTTGTTAGAGGGGAGATAGATGGTTAGTCAGGCAAGATGACTGCATCAGCATAATTTCTTTTGGAAACTTGGCCATAAAGGAAATAAACGGATGTAAGAAACTTGCTTGTTGCTGCTACGTGGCAGGTCGATGAGAAATGAAAGTCATTTGGACCTCAAGATCGCTCAGTTGCTTGAATAAAATAAGTCGATGGTCTTGCAGTTGTGGTCCTCGTCATAAAATTGCCTCCACTCTTAGCACTAATTGGTAAATTCATCAGAGGTGCTGAAGAGACCGATCTCATCTCATACTCCTTATCCTAAGCAGGGCTGATGGAGCCATCAGAGCCAAAACAAGACAGCCTCATCTAGTTAGTGTAAGTACTGGAGCATCATTATGATGAATTACGACAGCCTATAATTCCCTTTAGTTCCCTATAGGTACTGTTAATTATTAGACAGGTAGTGCCAAATGTGTTAGATTTACTGCCTTCTAATACTACCATATTTTTAGAACGCTTCAGCGCTGTATATGGGATTGTGATGACTTGAAAATATCTGTAAACAGTTGGTTTGTAGCTCTCTGATACTTTCAATAACTTCATTAATCTTGGAAACTTTAATGATAGCTGTTTATAGGGACTGTTTTCAAAGGCAGCTTGGATTTAACAGTAGGTGTGTTGAAGATGCAGCCCCTGTGTGTGAGGTGTGCATCTGCATTGAGTCAAAATGAGGTGGGTATGGTACTGATTACAAATTTGCTTCTTTTTGCAGGGTGATCAGACAGCATTGCACCGGGCTGCTGTCGTAGGGAACACCGATGTTATAGCAACTCTGATTCAAGAGGGGTGTGCTTTGGACAGACAAGACAAGGTAACAGGCAAAAGCAAAGCCCTGTGGGATGGCAGCCTTGCCAGCCAGTATTATTAAGGTCTCAGAGAGAAAGTTATGGTTTATACTCCTGAGTATCTGGTGCTTTGAAAGTAATTGGAACCATTACATTGAAAAAAAGGCTGTACCATCTCTTTAATATAAATTACTGATTTAGTTATTTTTTATATTAGACTGATAGTTTTTGATTTAAGAGTCTGGTCTCAGCTCATTAATGGAAGAATTAAAGAAATGTACAACCATAGCATGCCCTACGCAAAACACTGCACAGTTTCCCTTGATTATCCCAGAAACTGAGAATCCCAGGCTGTAAATTTAGTTTGGGAGTAAATATAACTAATTCCAAGTTCCAAACAAAAGAAATAACAATATTTTTAGCCTCTTCTAAAAATAACATAGAAAATAAGCTAGAAGGAAAGGAAAATGTTTTATTTTTTAAGGGACCAGGTGGGGCGTGCAGCTGCTGTTTTCTGAATGTAATGTTACTCTGCATGTGGGCACAGCACACTAACCTTCTCCTCTTGTGTGTGTGCTCTTCAGGATGGGAACACTGCTCTTCATGAAGCTTGTTGGCATGGATTCAGTCAGTCTGCCAAAGTGCTGGTTAAAGCAGGAGCCAACGTTCTTGCCAAGAACAAGGTGAGACCTACACCGGAGGAGCTTTCAGTCCTGGTGTAACATGGCTGATTCTCAGCACTGGAGATTTCTGGCCATGGCATTTCTCAGCAGGTGGGGGACCAGCTCCTGGTGGGATTTTTTTCTTCTTTTTTTGCATTTATTATACCTGGATGGTTCCTCCACAGGCATTAGGAAATTCTATTTTGACAGCTGATGCAGGAAGAATTCAATAGCACGTTGAATGATACATTAATTGTGGCTGAGGAGCACTACAATTCCTGTGGAAATCTCCACGGTGCTCTAATTTATACCAAGCAGATTCATTGTGATTGGTGTGATTTAAAATGAAAATGAATTGTACTAATGGGAAAATGGCATTCAAAATCCATTTTTTTTTTCCAGAAAGACAGCTGATGCAGGAAGAATTCAATAGCACGTTGAATGATACATTAATTGTGGCTGAGGAGCACTACAATTCCTGTGGAAATCTCCACGGTGCTCTAATTTATACCAAGCAGATTCATTGTGATTGGTGTGATTTAAAATGAAAATGAATTGTACTAATGGGAAAATGGCATTCAAAATCCATTTTTTTTTTCCAGACATTAAACAGCCAAATGAATGTAAGCCACAGAGGGGAAAAAAAGTGTATCTTTTGTTAGAAAGTTCTTCCTAATACCTGAGTGCTCTTACCAAAATCTTGTAATGAACCTGGATTATCTTCCTTTTGGTATTTATAATACCTTGAGAGCAGTTTAGAGGAAGGAATAACAAAGCAAGCGGTTTTAGTTCCACTCTAATTGTAATACCTGTGGGACACTTGTCTTCGATTCACTAATTCAAAAGTTAATGGAATAGTCTAGGAAATGGCGGTAGCAGCCTATGGTGTGAGCTGAGTTAGGGTTTGGACCGCTGTGCTGATGGGTTGGTCAGATCACATGGTTAGCACCGTGTCCTTCGTTACAGGCAAGAGAGCTTTGGGATGGCTTTATGGAGTCTCTGAGCATTTTTTGGTAAATGTCTCTCTAAAACAACAGTTGAAAGAGGCTAGCAAAGAAAGGGAAGAAGGGAGACAGGTGGCTAAAGTCCCAGATTTGGAGTAAAAAAGCACATTGCCTGGACGTATTGTTTCTGTATGTGCACGTGTGCATATATGCAGTATATACGCATATGTTTGTACAATTGTGGTCACTTTGTGATCTGTAGTTACCTCATCTTTGATACTATTTTATGTGTATTCCTTCTTTTATATTGTTCCAACTTCCAATTTTTATTTTCTGTAATTATTTTTTGCTGTAATGTTCACCTAGATTTGTATCAGAGGTACTTTAGACAACTTCCCATGCCTACACGTAACAGACAATAGTGCTTGTCTTTATAGTCCTGTGAACCATTATACTCCATGTGGCCGTGTATATGCGTACACTTATGTACAAAGGTGTGGGCTTAAGATGCAAGTCTGGTTATCCTGCATGCTTGGATGCCTCATGGTATTAGAAGATTTAGCTTACAATACAGCGTATGTCAACTGTTTGGAGACAACTTCTCTTGGAAAGTATGTGCACAGAGTAGCTCAGCAAGGCTGATGTCTGAAGTATAACTGGCAGACTTTAATACTGCGTGAGCAGCTCCTGCACTGGTCTTTGATGTCTTATCCGCACAATCCTCTCCCTTTGCATTTCACAGTTTGGGTGTTTTTTAATGGACAGGGTCTTTTCTCAGGAGCGGCTGAAAAATGATGAAATTGTGCATGCTTGCACACATGCACGTGCTTCTACCCCTTCTGCTTTCAAGAAAAATGAAGAGCTTAATTCTGCTTAATCCCAAAATGGTTTCTCTGGTCTCTCAACTTTTTACATTACTGCCAACAAAGCATGATCTTTCTGACAGCTTTTCTGGCAGCCAGGGCTGAGTGCCATGTGCAGGAGCACCCTACAGACTGTTGACTTACACCTGGGCATTGTGCGATTTTGGCTGGATGGGACAGATACGGGCTGCTAGATTTGCCAAATCCTGCTAAGCAGCAGAAGATGGGAGGAATTTGACTGTATTTTCTGTAACTCCTGGTTAATATCTCCTGGGACTGCTTGGGGAATGCTTGTATGGATGCACTTCCTGCAGCACAGCACCTTGAGCACAGTATATAAAAGAGCAATGCAATTGAAGATGGCTTCTATATTAAGTGAAATGCAGAGGCCAGACAGGACACCTGGGATTTTAAAGGCAAGTCAGGCAGGCATTTGAGGAATGGGACAACATGTGGGTAAACCACCTGGGTAGCCGTATTCCTCCTGTGCAGCAATCACCCTGGAGATGCAGTTTATTTTCAGTCAAGTTGGCTTAATAAAAACTCTTCCACTGTAATAGATCATCCCGTGAGATCAGTTGTAGCCTTCTTTTTAGACCCTCCATCAGTCTGTACATTCCAGTGAAGATTCAGTAGACCAGCGAAGACCCCCAGATCGGTACAACTCGGACCCACTCTCCCTCTCACAGAAGCTGGTGAGAGATTGGTCACCCTGTGGGAGGCGAGCCAGGGTGAGCCTGCTCTGTGAGCCCTGACCCCAGGCACCAGCACTCTGACTTCTCCCAGCATCGAGGTCCTCGCCCATCACCTACTGCACAGGACCTCTCTGCCTTCCCACCAGGGCCAACCTTCTGAACAGCAAATGATAAAGACATTGCAGAGGCTTTTCAGAGATAAACCCAGGAGGGAAAAAGTTTACACTTAAATGCAATTTAGCTGAGAAAGAAAATGTTTGCCTGCCACAGCTTAGAGACTACATTCAGGCCTGAAATAGACTGTAACGTGGAACTCAAGACCTAAGACCACATCTAAGAGTAGGCCTTTTGTAATTCAAACCCTGCAGCTTTGATCTGTGTCTTGAAAGCACAGGGCACAAATTAAAGGACATAATCAAGCCGAACAGACAGCCTAGTAAGCATGGGAAACCTTTTTACCTGAGCTGATTACATTTCTAGCTCCCAAGAGCCAAAATCCCCAAACATTTTCAGGCCAACAAAAGCCAAATGCTGTCAGAAAAACTTGTCAGACCAATAAAATCCTTCACAGTGTTAGAAAGACAAGCAAACTCTTCTTTGATTTCTGTCCATAAAAACTGCATGTTTGCTTCTTTCAGGAACCTTAGCATGTGATTCTCTGGGGTTTGGGTGGCTTTTTTTCCCCGTCTCATTTTGGCTGGAGGCTGGCATGCTTTCTGAACATTGAAGCTTCCCGATAGCCTAAAATCTGCATCCTGCCCTGTGAGAGCACCTACAGACCCAGCCAGACTTGGAGCTGGTTTGTGTTACAATCGTAAAGAAACAGAAATCTTGTCTGCCTAACACCCTGCAGCAGTCGTGGCCGACGTTGCTTGAGTTTGCCCAAAACATAAGAATTATATTTCTTTAAATTAAATACTTGATAGTGCGGTTTGATATTAATGAACCAGTCAGTTTCTAGAGTTTTTGCTTCCTGCAAACAGACTTGAGCAATGCAGATATTGTTAGACTGTCCAATTTCTGCCTTTACATCTCAGATAAATAATTTCCAGGGTGGAGAGGGTATTTCAGTCTCCAGGTTCATTCAGCTCATGTCTTCAGGAAAATAACAGTGACAGTTTCCCAGCCATGGGTGAATCTTCTTGTGGGAAGACCTGTGAGGTTTTATTTTTTAATGCTTATGTCCAATTTCTAAATACGGCTTTTATATTTTCCTGTATTTCTCTAAGGCAGGTAACACACCTCTTCACCTGGCTTGCCAGAATAGCCATTCCCAGAGTACTCGTGTTTTGTTACTTGGAGGATCTCGAGCAGACCTCAAAAATAATGTGAGTTTTGAAAAGAACACGTTCATTTTTGTGTGCCTTTGTTTTATCTATATTGCTTTAACTTGTAGAAATACTCAGAAATGCTTTAAGCTGTGATTTTTATTATAAATGCTATTGAAAAAAACCACTAACAAACCATCGTATACATCATGTACAGGAATGCTTTTGATAGGACTGCGCGATGCACTACTTGACTAACAAACCATCGTATACATCATGTACATGATGTACAGGAATGCTTTTGATAGGACTGAGCGATGCACTACCCATCTCTTGAGTGGGGATGGAAGGAGCCAAAGGGGGTTTTGCTGTTGCACAGAGCGAGGCAGCTGGTCCTTTGCTGCTTTTTGTGGTCCTGATGGCCTGACCCATATTACTGTCATGCAATTCCGCAAAAGGGCTCCTCTCTCAAAAAGATGGAAATCTTCAAGGAGTTTTGTGCCAGAGCAGGGAAAGCCTTCAGACCTGCCCTCACTAAGACAGATAATATGTATGTACTGAGTGTTGGTCTGTCAAATGAGGTAGATTCAAGGTGACTTCAATTTCAGACAGCTTTCCTCCTATTTTATAATGATTCTGCCGTGACAAAGGAAAAAAAAAAAAATCTACAAAAGGAAGCCAGATGTTTTTGTCCCTGCTTGATAACAAGGTGGGCAGCGGCACACAGAAATGGAAACCCGTGGGGCTCTGCTCCCAATCCCAGCTGCACATGTGCCACCCCTCGTGGGGATGCTGCTCTGGCCTCCACTCCTCATGTTTTCTTCATTATGTGCAACACAGAGTTGAGTTTCCAAATCACATTGGTTTGCAGTTCAGAAGAACAGATTTAATGTAAAAATATAAATCAGGTTTTGTAGTGCAGTAAACCAGCATTTTATAACTCCAGTATTTCCCGTCAGTGGTTAAAGAATTCGTACTCCTACCTTGCCTGACCCCAGCTCTTGCTAAACCTTCCCACCCATGACAGTAGATTCTGTACTGCGGAGAAGACAGCATTGCTCTTCAGCGTGTGGCATTTACTGCTCTTTTTGGTTTAATAGGATTATTTCATCCCTGAACACCATGACAAGTGCAAGCTTTCTTACTGCGATTACATGCTCAGAGCTTTGTTTCTGTTTGCAGGCAGGAGATACCTGTCTGCATGTGGCTGCTCGTTATAATCACTTGCCCATCGTTAGGGTGCTGCTCAGTGCTTTCTGTTCTGTCCATGAAAAGAACCAGGTCAGTGCATGAACCTCATTGCGACTCTGCGCCCTTTGCATACGGCTAGTTGTTGGAAAGAGGGATTCCTACCCAAGGAATCCCACTTCTCTCTGTGTTTCACTGTACCACCAAGGGCCTGAGCTTTTAAGAACAGCCTTAAAGTAATGGCGTATCAGTGGTTTATTATTTTGCCATCGCATTTGCATCATTTCTTTAAAGCATTGCCTATTGATGAGGTTCTGCAGTCGTATGTTGGTGTAGAAAGGGTGTTTGGGACAGGGGTAGCGGTGTAGGTGTAGGGGTTGGCGCTCCTGAGTCCTTACCAGTTCTGTGCAGAGCAGGACTAGGCAAGAGACTCAGTCATTTTATGGGGTTCCATTTTCTCCTCTGTAACGAGGTTTTAATGATCCTACGGCCATTACAGAGACATTGTGAAGCAGAACTCACTAATGTTCAGATGCTACGTAAGTGTGAATTTCTCTGGAATACTTTTCTTTGCTGCATTTTGCAGTAGTGGGAATTAAAAAGACTTAAAAGTGAAGAAAAAGTATGCTTTAAATTTAAAGTAATGATCAGTCTAACCTAAGATTAATCATCCATAGTTGGTTTATAGGGAAGTACCTGATTGCTGTACCTATAGCATAGCCTAACTGGGTGGTAGAAGGGAATGGATTTAGTACATTAGAATTTGTTAAATCTGCTAAATAAACAGATTATGTGGTGCTTAACCTCATCGTCTCATGTTCCTGGGAAGTTTTCCATGTGTAGTTGAGGATCATAAAGATGTTTTCTGATTTGTACATTTAATCTTGTTTCTTAGATAGGAGATATTGCAGCAAACAAAATGGGTCTCAGCATGTTAAATTTACTATGTAATTTTATTTGGAAATGAGTTTTTTAACTTGCAAAATGAGCTACTGAATATTAACTGGTGTGAACCTGGCCCGGAAAGACACCACTTTCCTTTATTCCCCAGTGCTACCTGAAGTTGTTCCATATTTGCACATATGATTTTATTTATGAACATGCCTCATCCCAGTTAGCAACAAGCAATAGATTTCCACTAGTCTTGAGGAGATCTAATTTTCTGAAGGAGAAATGCAAGGCAAAGGGGACAGGAGGGCATTATATGCACGTGTCCAGTCTGCCTTGAACAGCTGCTGGCTCTGTTACCAGTGCCCAAATCTGATCACAGCCGTCTTCACCTCACTGCACCGGGACAAGGGCAGGGCAGTGTGTTAGTGCTGGACCCGGATCGCCTCCTGGCTTTGGTCCAAAAACTGTTTCTCTTGAGGAATCTCATGAAGGGAACACCAGCCATCTCGCTGCTAGTACTTACCTGATTATTTCTGAGTAATGTGATACATGACCACGTGCACACCAAATAATCAAACCTGAAAGAAAAAAAAAAACAAAACGAGAAGGTTGTGGTGGGAAAACCAGTCCTGCCCTCAGATGTCGTATCCGTTTGCTGGCGGTAGAGCTGGGCTGTCTCCAAGCTGTGTCGTGTGTCACTTGGTTTAGTTAAACCAGATCACCAGTGCCCCAGCTGCATTTCTCAAAACCAGGCTGAAGTAGCTCCTTGCCCGCTCCTGTCCCCTTCCTCCCAGCTCTGCTTTTTTTATTGACCAGGCCTTATTTAAGCTTAGTTGTTGCATCAGTAAGTGTAGGTCTTTCGACTTCTGAGCATCTTTTAGGAAGGTGTGATTTCTGCAGGGTGAGACCCAAGGATGTGTGTTACACGGTTGCTTTCTGCTTTGTAACTTGCAGGCAGGAGATACTGCACTCCATGTAGCTGCTGCTCTAAATCACAGGAAGGTGGTTAAGCTGTTGCTGGAAGCAGGGGCTGATGCATCTGTTGTCAACAATGTAAGTAGGATGTGGAGTTTCTTTGGTATTTTGTGTTGGAATCAGAATCATAGAATGGTTTGGGTTGGGAAGGTCCTTAAAGATCATCTAGTCCAACCCCCCTGCCGTGGTCAGGGACACCTTCCACTGGACCAGGTTGCTCAGAGCCCCATCCAACCTGGCCTCGAACACTTCCAGGGATGGGGCATCTGCAACTTCTCCGGGCAACCTGTTCCAGTGCCTCACCACCCTCACAGTAAAATATTTCTTCCTAATATCTAATCTAAATCTACCCTCTTTCAGTTTAAAACCATTACCCCTTGTCCTATCATTACCAGCTATTACCTACACTCCCTGATAAAGAGTCCCTCCCCATCTTTCCTGTAGGCCCCCTTTAAGTACTGGAAGGCTGCTATAAGGTCTCCCCGGAGCCTTCTCTTCTCTAGGCTAAACAACCCCAACTCTCTCTCTCAATGCAGACTCTCTTCAACAGTCTCTCTAGTGTTGGTAGAAAATATTGGGTGTTAGAGTTGAATTAAATCTGGGTAAATGAAAGCAGTTAGTCACTATGCTGCTGTGCACAGAGCATGTGCTAACCTCGGGTGGAGAAATTCCACATTTCCAGCAGCTTGTGTTTTGAAGGAAATGCCGTTTTCTTTTTCCTCTCAGGCAGGTCAGACCCCTCTAGAGGTTGCCAGACAGCACAATAACCCTGAGGTTGCGCTCCTCCTCACTAAAGCATCACAGGTAGGTTACAAATCACTCCCCAGCACACACAAACACATGGAGCTGAGGCCAGTTACCCTAGAGGGGACATATCCCCTGGTCCTTAACCTTCTGCTGTGAAAGGTGCCTACGTTTCTGCTGGCATTGTGTGCTGGCCTCAGGTCTATTGACATGGAGCCTTTCAGTCCGCAAGCCCAGCAAGGTGTGCAGATTAAGCCTCAGTTTTAAGCACTGGCAGAGCTCCTGGCTGTCCTGACTGGCAGAGGACGGAGCAGCCAGAGGCACTTGTGCTCTGCGGTTGCCCTGTACCCAGAAGCTCCCAGGTTGTGTCCCTCTGCTGCCTGCCTCAGACTTCTCCCACCCCCCAAGATGGTTGCTCGCACTGGAAGATGCTTTGAAATGGGGACAAAATGTCCCGTTTATACTCTGCTGCTGTGTATGAAATGCTACAACGCTCTTCAGGCCGGAAGGCACATGGGAGGGCTCTGTATTCTGGTATGAGACCAGGTGTGATCCCTGCCCTGCTCTTCCTTGTCACCTCTGAGAAGGGCTTGGCTTGGCAACCAGCCCAGGGACACAGGAGGACACAGGAGGAGGCTCTCACCCCTCCAAGGGACAGCAAAGTGCCCTGATGGACTTAGCTGTGAAAACACACCACCACTGAGCTAGGAACACCCACATTGCTTGGCCCATCAGCATCCCTCTGGCAGTGCACTTCCTTTTATATATTGCCTTTTAGTAGAGGTGAGAAAGGTCTGCTCTGTTGCTTGGCTTCTGTGGTAGGAAAGAGTGTGACGCCACTGACTAACAGTGTGGTCTGCCTTCAGGTCTCGCGCTTTAACCGTGGAAGAAGCCTGAGGAAGAAGAGAGAGAGGCTGAAGGAAGAAAGGCGAGCTCAGTCGGTACCACGGGATGAAGTGGTACAGAGCAAGGTACAGCCCAGCATTACCAGCTACATCTGCTGCAAGGAGGGAGCGTAAATAAAACCCATCAGGACTAAATCTGTTTGGAGCCATCACTTGTGCATGACCACGGCAGCTGTCTGAGGCAGTCTGTCGTGCTTTGCTGCTAAAGAGTTACCCACTCATGTGTGCAGAGCAGCTTAAAACTGGGAAATTGAAGAAAAGGCACCTTTTCCCCATCTCTGCAACTGCTCTGAACTCTCTGTCTTTGCTTCAAGCAGGGCAGCGTCTCAGCTGCTGACGACACACCGAGCAGCGACCAGCCACCACAGAGGAAGAGCGATCTGAAGGATGAACCCCGCTCAACCTCACCAGATCCCAAAGGGAAGAAGAGCAAAAAGAAAAAGCCAAAGGAAAAGGTATCAGTAGATTTAAAACAGCAGAAAAGGGATAGTTGTTAAGCAGTAATACAGGTGTCCCTTCAGCGTGTCGGTGAGTCAGGGCAGCAGCCCCGGCGTGCTCACGGGGCAGAGGTAGCCTTCAGACAAAACTGATTTCTGGTGGGGAAATTCTGCTGTTAAGGGTCACACGAACCAGATTTGTGTGGAAATCTGGTTATTGTGCTGACAGACACCGAGGTTGTGGCCAGGCACTGCAGCTGGATTGGTGTTTTAATCAGGTTTTTGCTGTAATTGTCACGATGGATTTGTCCCGTTCCCACCAGGAATAGTTTACCAGGGGACTCATAAATAGGGAAAACGTTGTGTGTATTTTATGCAGGTTTCAGCACTCTCGGACCCCATCTCCCCAGCTGACCAGCAGACACTCCCTCAGCCCCAGCAAAATGTGCCTAAGCGCAGAAGTAAGCATCACTGCTCCTCTCCGCCCCCTCCCCACGAGGTCCGAGCCTACCAGCTGTACACGCTCTATCGAGGAAAGGATGGGAAGGTGATGCAGGTGAGCCGGCCGCTGCCCTCGTGGAGGGAGACACGGGGAGCAGCACTTGCCAGTCGAGGCACAGTTAGCTAACGGATAGAAAACGCACTAAATTAACTGCACTCTTAAGGGTATGAAATCACAACTGTGGATTTGTTTTCCCTGTCTAGGCTTCAGCTGCATTTTGGCCTGAACTCTAGTAAACAATAAGCTGGTTTTGTGTGTGCTAAGGAAGACATACTTAACTAGTTTTGATCTACAAAGTACTTCCTTTTTGGAGATAAGGTGTGAACAGTGATTGGAAACGACACTTTTTTGGAACTTTTACGATACACTTTGAAATATTAAGATTTCCAACAGGAAATGCAAAGAGCTTTGCCAGTGAAAATAAACAAAAGCAGTGTGCGAACACTGAAGCTTACTACCTGAACCAAGAGCCTGAGTACGCTCAATACATTTTGTTTCAGTTCTGTTTATTGCAACATGTCTTTGGCGATTCTAGAATTACTGGAGGCAGGAGCTGCACAGAAATTGGTTCACAAATAAACCTGGAGTTACCAGCTCGTGTGCATTTATTCCAGTTTAGAGACTGATATTTTACTCATTTTATTATGTAAGTATTTACCAGTACACATTTCTAAAGAAGCATGAAAGCAGTCAGCAAATTACCCTGTAGACATTGTAAACGTCTATATTGTTGTTTTTTTAATATTGCCCTCCTGTACCTCTGGGAGGTCAATCCTTTCATTTCCTTAGCTTCTCACATCCATCCACCAGCTCTCCTCGGTCCCTTGCTGTAGTTAAGAAGTTCAGCAGATTCTGAAGATCACTGAAGTCAGACTTCAAAGGTTTTACTGGCCATATTTCCCAACATCGCGCTGTGTAAGGCTTGGGAAATTTCCAGACAGGGGCATTATGGGATTATCCTAATAGCAGACATGAGGAAGGATGGAGGACCTTTCATATGTTAAAAGCAGCATCTCCCTGCCCCTAGGATCTGATGGTAGGAGGATGGGCCAGTAGGGAAGACTTGGGGAGCAGGAAGAAAGATGCAGAGAGCAGATAGGATTTGTATACAAATCTAATCTATTCACAAAGATTAGCTTAATAGAGCTAGACTCCCTTATAGTATTTCCTGAAATACGTGACACTCCTCTCTCCCCTTCTTTTTTGCTCGGCTGTCTTCTTTGATGCCCTCAGGCACTGAATAGCAAACAGAATTTCTTAAGTACATGTACTTCTGAAGCTTTCTTGAGTGCTCAGCAAACCACTCACCTTCCCCTGCCAAGGGACTAACCCCCAATTTCTGAAACGGTACTGCAGGGCCAAAGGAGAGAGGGAGGCTCCTCTGCAGACAGGTTCAGAGGAGACGCTTTGGGCTCCTGACTCACCCCCCTGAAGGAGCCCATTCCTGCCTGCGGACTGCAGAGGAAGCCGATGAGGATTAGCTGTCCTCGCTTAAGGGAGCCTTTTGTGACCATCTCCCTGAGAGATTTAAATGTGGTCAGTGCAGCTCCCTTTGCAGAGGAGCCTTGGGATGGTGTCATGCAGGTCAAAGGAAGGCAGCGGTGTGCAGAGCAGATACGGGTCAGCTGAATGCCAGCAGGGTGAAGGCAGACAGGAGCAGTGAGACCTTGCCATACAGTACAGGGGAGGAAAAACAAAAAAGGCACATTATTGGCATTAGATTAAAAAACAAATGCACACAAACCCACACACATCCACAAAATCAGATTTTTTTTGTACAATTCAGAATTACAGCATCGAGACACGGGGTGTAGGCCTGTAATGTGGTATCCCCTCATACAGCACACAGTACCACGGCATACGTGATCTGAGCTCATTGATGCTTGTAGCCCCAGTGAAATCAACACTGCTGTGTGTTAGGATGTCCATATAAATCAGATCAATCCTTTTCTGGTCTGTGCTTTTCCAATTAATAGCCTGTTGGCTGAGCTACTGTAAGGTGTTATCAGGAGGGTGAGATACAGTAGATGGTACAGAAGAACCCAAGACTGACTCAAGGAGGCTGTGATAATGTTGCAAGTGCACTAAGAGGACAGCGGGATGCAGCAGGTAAACGTATTACTCCTTTCAGGCACCGATAAATGGATGTCGTTGTGAGCCCCTGATAAATAAACTGGAGAATCAGCTGGAGGCAACGGTGGAAGAGATAAAAGCTGAGTTTGGGACAGTACAAGATAAGATGAATGTTAAGCTGGGCCAGATGGAAAGCAAAACTCAACATCAAGTAAGAATATGACCTGGAGGTCTGCTTGCCTACATGACTATTAGAAACATATCCTTAGCTTAATGAGTATTTTCATTGTCATGATTCGTTTATTGCTTCTTGTGTTGTAAAAACGAACCTGAAAGCTAATACTCAAGACCAGGGAACTGTGACATTCCACAGGGATCTAATGTTGCAAACCAGGGTCTTGAGAAAAACACATTTAATGTGTTAAGTGGCTTCCGGTGCTTCTTTAGACAATAAATCTAAACTGCTTGAGGCCCTAAGAGGGAAACCTAAAGACAGAAGGCAGTCCTACAGCTGGTCGGTTCATAATTGGAAAAATCCCTCTTGCTGAATTCTGTTTGCACTGAGATTCAAGATCCTCTAAATTATTTTTTATTTTTAATGTAATTGTTATTCATCGATAATTTTGTGATTGAACCTTTTTGCAAGCTACATCTAATTGTAGTTGGCAGCATTCCTAGAAATGAAGACTGAAAGACAGACTGTACTTTGACTTACAAGGTTCACAGATGGGGGCTTTGTTTGGTTTTTAACATGATCATCTCAGCTAAATTGTGTTGTTTTCCACAGCTCCGTGTTTTAGACAAGCTTATGGCTGAGCGGCTGTCCGCAGAGAGAACAGAGTGCCTTCACCGCCTGCAACAGCACACTGACCTGGAAAAAAATGAGGGGGAGAAACGGCAGGTAAGGCTTGAAACACCTACTCCCTGTTCGCTCAGATGGATCAGCTCAAGAGTTTCGTTCCAGCAGGCAGGGAGAATACTGGAGATTTATCTCATCTGTTGAAACAGGCAAAGGAACTTCAAAGAACAACTTATTCCTATCCACCACCTTAATCTCTAAACCAAACTTATAAAGCTTTTGCATTAGAAGTGAGGAATGTGAAATCCAGTCCCACTGTCATAATTTAATTTGGTGGGTCTGAAGTGTGGGATCTATAACAAAATATCTTTTTTCTAACATAGTGCTTTGCAAAAATTCCTACCGCTAAATTTTTAACAGTTGTGCTTTCAGCTTTTGCTTAGTTAAAGGACGTCTGCAGGAACGTCTGCAAACAGCAACAAAGGCTTAAGATCTGTGGTGTTCCTTTTACTTCTCATCCATTTGGTTGTGTGCCCTGGGAATCTTTCCCTTCTCCTCTGTCTGATCTTTTTTTTTCCCCATGCATTAAAAGGCTGCAGTTCTTCCCTCTGACTTTGGCAACAGTGCGCCATCTCCAAGCTGTGTATTACTGCCAATAGGCAAGTTCTTTTTGTATGCTTGTTTAACCAGCATTACAAGAATAACTGTTCCCGTGGAGATCCAGCTCTTGCCCCTCTAGCTTCTGCACAAACTCACCATTAAAACATGCTAAGAAATTTATATTTCTCTACTCACATAGGTAAACTTAAAATACAATTAATTTTCTCATTATTGGTATTTGTGTAAGCATTGAGAAATACACTTTGTGCTAGTAAAAGGTCATGACTTTTGTAAGACAGTTCCAAATCTGTGGTAAAAGCCTGGCAGCTGTTATAATCCTAGCATAAGCTACTGATCAAGGTACTTCGGTCTAACATTCGCAATACACTTTTCTCCAAAGAAAAGTACTTCTCAAACTAAGGCAGCTTTAGTTTTTATTTCATAGTAAGAGACATAAGTATTATATTGGCTTCCGAATGTCTGAGCTTGTGCTCCATCTCCTTGCAATCTCCATTTAAGAAATGAGATACTGGAGTGATACATCAGGTGAACTGAAATTACCATTAAGCGGTATCAGCTGTTCCTGTTCTGTTGGGTCTAATTGAAACTACTGGAAAAACTGAGTTGGGCTTTACTAAATGCATGGCCTAAATGTCCATGTGCATAGGAGGGCCTGACCTAAATTCGTGATGTCATATGAACAAGAGGGTAAAAGAGCTACTCATATTTTAAATGATTACTGGCAAATGCCTCTGCACCTGACACTTATTAAGCACCTCTGTAATTTGAAAGCCGTTAGTAATTTATCATTTAGAGTTGGACTCATCTTTATCACCGAATGAACAGAGCAGCAGAGGTTGGTAATGGTATAAAGCTGTGTCCCAGAAGCGTCTAATTTGAATTTCACTCTTCAAAATGGCAGCTTTGACCACACGTGATGTTCCTTGCACCTAGCAAGTACCATTGACTGTATGATTAAACAAGTCAGCCTTGATCGGAGGACTCAGAGTTGCATTTGAAGTAGCACATTCAAATCTAAGAGGGGGTAGCTTGGACTAAAGAGGGTGCCTTTCATTAGCTAATGCATGGTTCTTCATCTTTTCTGATTTGCAGTCCTTTAAATATTCCCAGTGGCAGCACGCATATCTGTACAGGGAGTCTAAGCCCACAGATACCAGGCTTGCTTCCCTTTGTCCCTGCCACACGTCCTCAGCAGCCCAGGAACCATAGGATCTAATCATAGGATCATCTAACTTACAGTCTCTTTCTCATAGATTTCCTTGGTCGATGAGCTGAAGACTTGGTGCATGTTGAAGATTCAGAATCTGGAGCTCAAGCTTTCTGGAGATTCCAGGTCATCAAGACCAAAATCAACTTTGTCCACTTGTGAGTCCCTCACTGAGACCCTGGATACTGAGAACAACCCCCACAGTGCCAAGGACTGTAAAGCCAACCAGCCCATGCTGCAGTCAGAGGGCTCCCACCAGCATTCCTGTATCACGCTCCCAAACAGCCTCTTGGAAGATGGGGGAAGGAGCAGAGTCCAGATGCCGGAACAGAGCTTTGGGCAACAGTTTTGCATTCAACAAGATGGTGCGTCAGGTACAACCTTGTCAGGTACTTAGAGGCCATATTCATTCAAAGGCGAGCTAATTAACTGAGGGATACCTGTATTAATACCACAGATATTAATTCTGGCTGTGTGCTTTCCTCCATCCATGTGCATAATGTCTTGGGATTAGAATACACTTCAAGGCAACCACTGGGAATATTGTAAGACATGGTTGGGTGGAATTCCAGTAGCTCTTCCTGATGCTTCCATGTCACTGTGTCTTTGAAGCCAAGTTTTTTGATGCTCTGAATAACTCTGTTTTCTGAAATTTCTCCAGCTTCCCAGTCAGAATTGCTCCCACCCCATTGTCTGTCAGGAAGGTGTGCAGATTATCCAAAGTCTGCTGAAGAAAGTGTATTCTATTTAGTGCTTTTCAGATGTGTGGAACCTCTAATGGCAGGGTGCAAGGATGTGAACCTAAAATACTCATTTCCCTTGTTAACATTCAAACTGCAAGGATATAGAATAAACCTCCCACTGTTTCCTCTTTCCTTGAACCAAAGTCTGTTTAATTATTAGTTCATTTGACAAGAACAAAAACAGCTGAGAACATTCAAGGCCGTTCAGGGAATGTGGCCACCCGAAGATATGGAAGACCTTGGTTCAAGCCACCTCTCTGTGCTTGGCCAGGGAAGCTTCTGAGGAAAAAAGAAATGGGCAGGATGCCCAGGTCTCCACAGCCAAGGAGAGCGCTATCGAAGCCCTGGGCTTCTGTAAGCCCCCCAGAGCTATCAGTGCCCTGGGGGGCATTGTATATGCCCCCCAAAACACTATGCAAAGTAAACAGACATGGACATGGATACCCCATCAGACTAGAAAGGCAGAAGACCACACAGGAGATCTTGTGGCAGCATGAACAGTTGGCATGCATTGAACAGTTCAGGAGCATCAAAATGTGTTATCTTTGCAAAATTAGTGGGGCTTCAGTTCCAGTAGAAGCAGGGGGTTCATAAATATCAGCAGACATAAACTACTTTGGGAATCTAGCCTGATCTTTGTTACATGTCCTTCTGGTGACGTCCTTTGATTGTTGTCAGTCTGTAGTCCCGCAGCCGCAATGCAGTGCCTCTCTGCCTGAGCCAGCTTTTCTCTTTTAATGACTCTCTGTTGTATCACCTGACTGTGAAGATGCGATAAACTAATACAAGCCTCTACAATGTACACACAGCACGGTACATGGGAAACCGCATCGTTCATCGAACAATGAGGATTTCTGAATGCTAAAATAAATGTCCAGAGCTTTTCTAAATACATATGTATATATTTTATTCTGTAGGTACAGAGCAACAGTTAATCGTTGGTGGACCAGTTTCTTCTGCCCCTGCTCAAGACGTCAGGCCAAAGGACAAAGCTGTTAGTGCCAGCACGTTCCACAGGTTCCAGCAGGAGCTGCCCTCCTCCGAGCTTTTGGGGTCCAAGTTAAGACACGTTAAGGTTCAAGCTGCTTTGCAGCCCTTGACTGAACCTGCAAAGGCTGAACCACAGAGCGGCTACTTCATTGACAAAGGAACTCAGACAAAGAAGTCCAGCAAAAGTGGGCAGTCAAGGCACAAAGCTCTGCACCACGCCGCCGGGGCACATCACAGCCAGGAGCAGCAGCCCTCCGCCCTGCCTGCGGGACAGCCGCCTGCCCCTCCGCTGAGAAACACCTCCCAGGCCCTGGAGATAACACAGTACTTCTTCGAGGCTGTTTCCACACAGATGGAGAAGTGGTATGAACGGAAGATAGAAGAAGCCCGGTGCCAAGCTAATCAGAAAGCGCAGCAAGACAAAGCTGCGCTCAAGGAACATATTAAAAGCTTAGAAGAGGAGCTCAGCAAATTAAGGACTAAGGTGCAGAAAGAGAGCTAGCATCTACCAAGCAGGTAAAGACAAGCAATGCGACTCATTTTGGAACCCGCTGTACAGGAATCTGGAATATTGTTAGATATATGCATTTGTAGTGCCTGGTACATCCAAACAAAATGCTCTTTTTCAGGAGTAGAAATAACTTTGGAAACTCCAGAACCGAGGAGAATTCATATGCAGACTGTACTGATGACAACGAGATGCTGCAGATTAGATCCTTCCTCTGTTATTTCCAAGAGTCCGTTAAATATTGCACTCCCAATTTCCAGGTGCTGCTTGAAAACACACTGCATTAGAAACCAAAATTGCTTTCTGAAAAAGGAATTTCCTTATTTCCACATAGGTCATGTGTGGCTAGAGGGTTTCACTGTATGCTACATGTAAACACGTGGCGATACCAATACTGAAATAAATCCAGGATGTTTGAGAGCTTTTGACAGAAGTTCCTTAGTGATGAAGGGCTGTTGATACTATTTTAGATACTGCCCACGGCCTCCCTGTAGTCAGGGGAGAGAGGCTACAGAACCAACTCAAATTACAAGCCCGCGTAGGTGACAGGTGCAGGCTTCCAGCCGGGAGAGGCCAGGCTCCCACCGGGTGCGATGCTAAGGTGACTCATCCCATTAGGTACAGAGGCTGTGGTTGCCATCTTGCTTTTCTTTTGGTTTTACATTATTAAAACAAATGCTAAATTAGGTTTGTCTTTTTTTTTTAATGGTGTCCTGGTTGCAAAGCTCCTTGTGGTTACACGGTTGTTGGGGCCGTACTCGAGTAATCTGACCGAGAAGTTTTGTTTAGGGCATGGATGGCAAATATTTTACCATAACCATGCTCTACCTGTTAGGTATAATTTTTATATAAAACTTTTTTCCTTCAAGCAGCAAATGGCTGAATTCTCTACTACTGAAGAAGCTTGAAAAAGTTCTTTAGATAAAGAAGTGAAAGCTTGGTTCCCTGTACTCAGATGTTTCTTCTTCTGCAGAGTCAGGATTTTCTCCCAGACACCTTGTCCAGACTGTCTTCCTTCGTTCCTCTGAATGATTCCTCTCTGTTTTTTCCCTTGTATCTCTAAAAAGAGAGGCCGGGCCCTGGTGAATCTGCAGGTCTTAGGACTGCTTTCACAAACAGTCCCACAAAATAGAACTCAACGCCATTTTACAGTTTTTATGGATGCCTTTTGTTATAAAATCAAAACTTAGAATGAGCAATGTCGTCCAGGCTGACAGACTCCAAATAAACCAGAGGCACCGTAACTTGTTGCGTCTGCACCCCTTTAGGGTTTCCTCCTTAACCTCTGAGAAGGCTCCATCAGATTCTGTCAGAAAAGTAAGTTTACTTAACAGATCATGATAGAACCACTGTTCAAAACCAATTTGGATACAGGATAGTACTGTTATGCCAAGGAGAAAGAGATTTTTTTTCTGTACCGAGGAGCCCTAAAATCAATACAAAATACTTTACAGTATTGAACACACCATTGACTAATCAGTAATTAAGCTTTCGTCTTCTTAGCAGATGTATAAAGCAAAGAAAATTGTATTATATAACAATATTTTTAAAGCACCTGTTAATGCACTATCAAGACAAGAAAAGTCTATCTGCTGTTATGGAAACACTAGTTTTATTGCTCTGACTTCTGTAGTCTAAAATAGACACTTTCATACGTTTACAGTTTTGTTTAAGCTACTGTAGGAACGCAGAGGCACGCTATTTAAGTTTTGTATCATCTTGATAAAGTGAATGTTTTGCCAAGCAATTAAAATAAGCGTTGCTCAGAAGTCTGTGTTGCTTGGAAGTCTGTGGTGTCATGTTTTTTCTAGCCAGAGAAAATTGACAAAATCCCCTCGTTTCCTCGGAAGGGGAAGCAGAAAATTTGGACTTTGACTTCTAAGCTTTTGCATAGACACTTTCATACGTTTACAGTTTTGTTTAAGCTACTGTAGGAGGCACGCGGCACGCTATTTAAGTTTTGTATCATCTTGATAAAGTGAATGTTTTGCCAAAAATAAGCGTTGCTCAGAAGTCTGTGTTGCTTGGAAGTCTGTGGTGTCATGTTTTTTCTGCCAGAGGAAAATTGACAAAATCCCCTCGTTTCCTCGGAAGGGGAAGCAGAAAATTTGGACTTTGACTTCTAAGCTTTTTCATTTGTGGCTGTAGAACGTGGAAAGGGGGTCTACCGTCTGTCCCGAGGGAGGCTGCGGGGACCCACTGCCACCTGTTAGCTGATGCACGCACCCACCGTTTCGGAAGTTACTGGCACAGGGCCGAGTTGCACAGCTGATCACACACACGCTCCCGAGCTTGCGCGAGTGCCAGGGCAACGGAAAGGCTATGGCGTTAGCTAATCTGCTCCACGTACGAACTACACTACCAAGGTAGCCATTGGAGCGGTAATGTGCAGTAACTAAGGGAGCAGTAATTTAAGACAGTAACTTGGCTGCAGAGTACTGATTTCAGAGGTTTTCTGAAGCCAACAAGGGTACTGTAAAACAAAGGGAGGCATTTTCTGCTAATTGCTTTCTACTTCCCTCTGTAGTCCTCCCTCCTTCAAAACTACTACAGTTGAAGGACTTCCTTACAAAATACCCGTATTACCTACCCTTCTCCGCAGCGCACACTTGGAGTAAATTTACATACCCTAGCAGTCTGTACTTGGGCTCCTCAAGGCTTCTGGCAGGCAATTTTATCTTGACAAGCCCACAAAGCAGTGGAGGTGACAGGCAGCAGCACTCAGGAGGTCAGTGGCTGTCCAGGGCACTGCCTGTCAAGATCTATTCCTGGGTTATGTGGCCACAACCTGGAAACGTAGGAACTGGAGTCAAATGAGTAAGGCAGACTCAGGGGTCCGAATGGAAAGCACTGCGATGAGGCGGCAGGGGAAAGGCTCCTAATTAAGGAGCAGAAATCAAACCACTGGCTGAAGGGAAAGGGAAGGCTACGTTTAAGAACAAGCCGACACCGATTGTGGCTTTGTTTAGGCAAACTTCCTTTCTAAACAGCATTTTCTGGTCACGTAAAAAATCTATCCCCAACACACTAATGTTCTGTCAGTGTATTCTACCAGAAAACGTTAAGAAAATGTAGATCCTTAACAAAATATTTAGACATACCTATTTTTCACTGACTGATGAGAAGCTCAAAGGCTTCTGTCTGTACAAACCTCAACTCTTTAGCAGCCTCACTGGTTGCCTGAGCCGCATCCTTTACTGCAAAGCTAAATAAACATCATAGGAAAGGATTCTACAATGACTTTCAGAAGAATAATTAGGAAAAAAAAACCCCACGGCATTCTTTCTTGTTAAGCAGCAACTTTTTGCAAAGCAGCTTTGCTGAAGTGTGTAGCTTTGAAGACCCTTCGTTTGGCTGCAGCAGGAAGCATACTTCCTGCACCCGAGTGGGGTCTTCCTTCCTCCCGGTAGCCTGGAAGGGGAATACTGTCCCGTCCCTTCCCTTGTGCCAGCGGCGGCACGGACCGGACTTGCTGTCAGGCAGTCCGGCTCACGAACTGGGCAGAAAGCCTCCTGGGCAAGGGGAGGTGGCTCCCCGAGCGAACTGTAATAGCGGGGCGGGAGAGGGAAGGGTTCCTGCCTCTCTTGAAACCACAACCTAAACTGCCCACAGCTACTGGATAGTCAGCTAGCTATCTACTGTTGTCTGGCTGTTTATGTTGAGACAATCCCAGACTCGCCTTGGCATTTTTAAATTATATGGGGGGGGTGGGAGAGATATACTGTAATTCACAGGAAGGTAAGAACAGTTGCACGCTAACAATTAGAAGTGGAGTAATACGGCATTTGGAAAAACAGACGACAGTATTTGCAGTTAGTATTCTCTATTTCTAATTCTACTTTATACTGACTTTTAAATACTAACTTGAATGTAATCTTGTTAACTTGGTAGTAACTGTTTCTGGGGCTAAAATCTCTCATTTTCATATATAAAGACCTCCCCTTTTAAGTTTTATTCAGCTATAACTGAAAATCAACATCTACATACAAAACATTTCCTTAATGTTTTATCATGTTTATTTGTTTTGGGCCCATTTGTTTATCCCAAATGCTTTTCTAATCCCAAATTTTGGTAAAAATCCTTGGCACAGTACAGAAAGAGCTGTTACCACTATGAATATTACCACTTGAGTTACCACAATAGAAAACAGACAAAATAATCTAGCTTCTATTTATTTTCCATTTCCTTGGCGTAACACTGCTGTTGTAATTTTTGGTGCTTTCTGCTTTTCCTACAGCACATGCTACATCATCCATTCAGGTCGTTAAAGTCCTTTGTGTCTGAGTGATTTCCACATGGGAGGGTAACCAAACCGAGAAGAGGACGGGGAAGGGGAAAAACCAAACAAAAAAACCTCACTGCGGTAGATTCCACCTTCAAACATGACCAGGTTGTCAGCAAAGGCTGCTATTATAACCACATTGCGGAAAAAATACCATGCTTGTTCGCAGCAGATGAAAGTCCAGCTGTCAACAAAATTGAGATCAGGATTTTGCCAGCTTAAGCGTTCTTTGCAGTTCCTGAAGTTGCATGTTGCCCTGAGTAATCATCATCCTGATTGTGTCCTATAAAACAAAATGGAATCTACTGAACTGCACGTCCGTACACAGCACAGGCTTTACACAAGCACGCAGATTTTAATCCATTAAAATACATACAACTCTTACCAGCACTACTGTGATCTATTTATTTGTGTGAAGTAACACTATAGTCACCGAGATGGTTAAAAAACAGGTGCATAAATGAATTAATTTTCTCCAATTCCTTAATGATGTGTTTGGGGGCCGGTTATGGCTTTGCTTTAAAACTCAGTTTCGAACTGGATTTGAACCCCTAATAATGTTTTCTTTATGCCTCTGTGTCTACCGCCTTTGCAAGGATGTAGCGACAGCTGCACGTGGGCATTATGGAGACGGGTGCTTTACAGCCCAAGTGGACGTTTCTCTCAACGTTATTTTTATCCAAGTACTGTAATGCTTTGTCTGCATAATTCAGCCACCAATTCCTTGAGCACTGGCTAGAAAAAGGAACAAACTAGAAAGCAGAGGACAGGAGACATACGAGAAATGTAAAGGTTTCTGCATTTCATACATGCTTCATATCCACAACCATCCAATTTGACTGTGTTCAGCTTGAATATAGTTGAAATTAAAGATGAAAAAAAAAAGCTATAGAAAGCTTGACCATTAATAAGTTTGCTAGTTATCGTATTATTCAATACAATTTTTCTGATTTGTGGTTTGAGTAAGCAGGATTTGTCTGGTTTTTAGCTTTTTAATTCCAGATTATTATCTGGAAATCACGCAAACATTACTACTGCCAATAGGGGGGATAATATTTAGAGATGCTGAATTATTCTTCACATAAATGCTTCTTAAGAGACAGTAACAACAGGAGCCTTCTTACCAGTCTAGAAGTGACACCTACAAAACAAACCCACGTGACAAAGCACAGGACCGCGCACTGATCATTCCCGAGGGCAGGCGGTCAGGGTTGCGGGTTCCCGACCCTCACCTCTTCTGTAGCACCTTTATTTCTTCTGAATTCCTCCCTGGTCCAGTCCTTTAAATACTGGCGATCTGCTTCCGCAGGGACCTCACGAATAGCCCGCAGGATCTTCCTGTATAACTGAAGAACCTGCTGTCGCCTCAGGAACTGGGAAGGAGAGAGGGAAGTCTATCCCCTGTCCCAGGACAATCTATTGAGAGCTGTACCCTCAGCGGCTTTGTTTGCTTTGAGGGACGTTTAAATGAACACCAAGTTCCCCATCGCCTTTTCTAAACCATGCAGCATGGCCTTAGATCCCAGTCCAAGAAGCTCAGAGTTCGTACAAAGGAACAGCCCAAATGTGGAACATGTTTCGGTGCCCAAGGCTAGCTGTACGCACAAAACGCAGCGTTCAGAAGGGCAGCGTTTAGAAGGGCGAGCGCCAGCTCACCCTCCCGGCCACCTAGGAGGACTGCCCGCCCGCCGCCGC